AGCGGTACTTTTCTATCACACAAAAGACCCGAAGCATTCCTCCACTTCAACCAACCAAGTTGAATTCTACTATTAACATCCCCATCTATATCCCATCGCTTTGAACAACGGACCCAAGATATCTAAATCGTCCACACCTTTTAATAATTTGATCACCCAAAGTCACACTTCTGTCACTAGAGCTACTACTACTAAAATTACATTCCATGTATTCAGTTTTAGTTCTATTTAAATGAAGGCCTTAATACTTCAATGTAGACCTCCATATTTCAAGTTTTTCCTGGGCTTTTTCTCTCGTTTTATCCATGAGAAGGATATCATTCAAACTACATTGAAGTTATTAATTGATCTTCGAAATAATTCTCCGCGAGAAAAAAAAAATTATTGACATTCATGTATGAGCAATTGTGATTAGTTTGCCATGATATTAATATTGAATAAAAGCTCAAAACAGTCCCCCAACTATTAACAAGTCTCCAATTTAGTCCCAAAGTTTTAGGATGCTTCAATTTAGTCCCAGACTATTAAAAGTTGCTCTAAATTGGTCATAAATCATATTTTTCATTAAATTTAATGGTGGTATACATGAATGGAAGGGAATTTTTGTTTTGTATGTAATTATTTATAATTATATCCAACATAAAAAAATTATGTATATGTTGTTTGGCTGGATTTAGGCTAAATCTTGCCTAAAAATTATTAAATACTGCTCAAATACGATTAAAAGCAAACATCACAAAATTCGAAATCCCATTTTTCCTCCATCTTCTGTTTTTAAATCTGATTAAATAATTTATTTTGCCACATATATTAGATTTTTCTTCTTCGATGAATTACTCCTCTCTACAAACTTACAGTATCGTATTTACCTGGCTGGAGTCGCAGCCTCTCCGGGTCAAAATGACGCAAGTCAAAGCCGCCTCTCTTTGGTTGAGGGGGATGCGCAAACGCTCGGATGGAGATGAAACATGTCGTCGGCGCAAGCACTGCGAATGGTGACGGATACGAAGGTTGCTTCGTCAAGTGGAGAAGCAGCGAATGAGTACCCGTCTTAATGTTACTTTCTCCGTCGATGTTGAAACAAAAGGTGAGAATCCACGCTCGGATGGAGACGGAGCCTTGTCGTCGGCGCAAGCAACGCAGATGGAGATAGGGACAAAGATGGAGACTGCGTCGTCGAGTCGAGAAGTAGCGATTGAGTACGCTCCTTGAGATGCTTGCTTCGTTGATGGTGAGCAGAAGGGGGGAAGCCGTACAAGTGGAGTGGCGAAGATTTAGGTTTAAAGTGAGATTGTTTTGTGTATGAATCCTCTAGTGAGAATTGGCAAGCCCTTCGTGTGTTTAGTTCTTGAATTTTGTAAATAGATGAAATTATCCTTCAAAATGTGAAAGGAACTATTAATTAAACGGAAAAATTTGTATAGGACCAATTCTGAATAATTTGTAATTGTTGGAGGCTAAATTAGAACATTTTAAAACTCGGAGATTAAAATGGTTACTATTTTAATCTCTATTTATATTTTAAAACTGGGAGATTGAACACAGGTACTATTTTGAGTTTTTTCTCTATTTATATTTATCTGTAGTGGGTAATGTAAGAAGCTATTTTTTGTTGGGATTTTCATGAAAGTTGACGTAATTGGGAGAAATATAGGTGATTGTTGTTTGTTTAACATCATACCTATTTTTTAGTTCTTGGTAATGTATGACACCACTTGTTTTGGGGATTTATTTGAAATTTGGCATCACTTGCCTGTTAGGAAGGGCGGGGGGGGGAGCGGGAGAGATGAATAGTCCTAATACCAATATTTACTTGGGGCTACATACATTCCATCCAATTCTTATGTATCCACAAATCCAACTCCTAACGTTTGGTTTTACATTTATATAGGGCTGCCAAAAAAGTTCGTTGTATTGAACAGGAGTTGTCCGGCTCGTTCGTTAAGTAAACGAGGCGAACACTAAAAAATTTTTAATTTTTAAACCTCGAATTATAAAGGAGCCGAATACAAACAACTCTTTGTTTGCTCGTGTTCGGCTCTTTTTAGCTCGAAATAAAAAAAAAATTATTATATAATATTATATTACATATATTATATATATTTATATCTAAGTTTAAATAGTAATACCTTTAGTAATACCTTTTGTGGTAATGTGGTTAGTGTATTCTTTTGCATACATTTGGTCCAGATTCAAATCCAACACCTTACATCTATTTTTTTCAATTTAATTTTAACGAACTAATTTTGAGCCGAACACGAACACACTGTTCACGAGTCAATTTCGAACACGAGTCGATTTCGAACACGAGCAGTTTCGAACGAGCCGAACACGAGCAAGTCTGTGCTCGCTCAAGCTCGGTTCGTTTACAACCCTATTTTTATACCACCCAAATCTTTCATATCACGTCAAAAATACCACTATTGTAACTTTTAAAAAGTGAAATACACCTTGTCATGCATAGTTAAGATGTTAACCATGTAAAAATTAAATTTTAGGTATTAGATATCTAAATACATAGAACTGAGTGGCATGTTTGTAAATCTTCCTATTTACTATCTTGATTCTAGCAATCAATTATTTTTTTGAACGTGGATAGTGTAGGAATCCGCTTGACATCAGGATTTATGTGAGATTTGTCATCAATTGAGTGCTAGGAGATAAAGGGAGGATCCAGGGAGTGGGTGTCATAGTTCAATCCATAAAACCTTTATGAGGTAATAGACCACACCAATGAGACTAGAGAATTGGATAAGAATTTCCATTCGCCATAACGCAAGTGTATTTCATAAGCATCATATCTTCCAAACTGTTCACAATACCAAATAATATTTTCCAAGAAAAAATGTTTTTGTTGAGCAGCATATCAAAGTCACAGGCATAATACATTAAAGATCCATTCGTGATTTCACATCCATGATTACGTTATACACAAAATAAACAGTTTTCTCAATGCCACATCATTAATAAAATGATAATTCATAATCCCTCTAAATGTTTTCTTCCACTCAGGCTGCTCTATCTCGCCATCATTTGAAAAAGAGCAAAAACAATAATACATATTCTCATATAGCAAACAAATAAATAAAAAGTGAAATCAGAATGCATGATCATGTGATTCATGTATCTTTATACTATATATAACACATATAAGTCAACCAATCAATTGTAGATGTTGCATTTTCTAGGTGCCTTACTTGTCCTACATCTATTAGTGAGATTTTCACGCATGGCATGTCAGCCAATCAATTCAATCTCAAACCATTCAATTTGTACGCGTGAGCAATATTCCTATTTTGATTGCATATTGATAGTATGTTAAGCAAAATAATCCTCATATTCACATGTTATCGTACTTTATAATACATATGTAAACAGTTTACTTATTTAAATGTTAGTTATGTTAAACCTTTGGTGATACTATAGTAGTGTAAATAAATTAGCATATCAGGAGCTGTTAATATAGCCTGTAGGATTTATGCTTGCTGGATGTAGCATATTTTATATCCCTTGTATTGTTTTTTAATGATATCCATCTCAACTATTTACAGCGAGATTCTCTGTTTTCTTCAGCTTATTTTTGGCATCATTCAAGTTTTGACTCCTTGTGCTCTCATTTTAAGTGAAAGAACAAAATTATTACTGTTTAGCACTACTATAACATCTTAAAAGTGTATTGCTGGAAATAAGGGTGATGATTTATAAAAGTTTATGTGAAATGTTATATCATTGGTTAACTGTAGGAATCTGCATGGCTACAAAGTTTGAGCTAAAATGAAAACTCTCTCCACTATTATTGATTTATTTTGTCTCAGGAACCAAAGGACATTTCGGCCTAAAAAGAGTGCCCCGTCTGGTAGTAAGGTAAGACATTTCCATTTGTGTTTTAAAATACTAGTAGCTTATGTTCACTTCTTTTATCCTGAAAAATTTTTTGTGCTCCTTATCTATTTTTTGGGCTCTGACATTGTGCACTTCAAACAAATTCCATGATCTCTAATGTCAATTCTTTCTGCCAAGTGTAATGCAGTTACGTTCAATTTGTTATGAACATGTCACTGTTGTATATCCATTATTTTTCCTTCGATGATTAGCAAAAGGGAACCTGTCCACTTTGACAAGCATTTATGATTCAGAATAATGCGGACATTTGATGTTTAAACTAAAACTCTGCCAATAAAATGTCTCCATTTGTCTTAAATCTACATTCTTTTACCGTTATACTAGGGCCTGATCATTTGATAAATTGGTACAGGGTGCACAACTTCGAAAGCATATTGATGCTACTCTAGGGAGTGGGAACTTGAGGGAAGCTGTGAGACTCCCTCCTGGGGAGGATGCGAATGAGTGGCTTGCAGTTAACAGTAATAATTTTTATTTTAATTTAAGATAGATTAACTTCCTTCTAGCAGTAGCTTTATTATCATTATTATTTTCTGGGGTTCAAACTCCAAATGCTCAATTCTGAAAATATGTATGGAATCTATGGAAACGTGATCTTAAATGTAATGATTTTTATTTGTTTATGTACGTCTGAATGATAGTTGTTCTTTATACAGAATAGTAGCAGGATGTTAGCTAATTCTGAAACAAAGTTAGTTTACTTTCAAAATATATTTTGAATCATCATGAAACTAAGACCATATATCTTTTGAATGCTTTGCAGCTGTGGATTTCTTTAACCAGGTGAATCTTCTATATGGCACACTTACTGAGTTTTGCACACCTGAGAACTGCCCTACTATGACTGCAGGGTCAAAGTACGCCTCCACTGTTTTTTATATCAGTAATTCTCTGTAGAAGTTCTTATTTAACATATTGAAAGTGAAACTCGACATATATTTCATTATTCCTTTAACATTTTTGCACGGCACACCTTCTTGGTATGGTCAGCGCAAAATGCTATGTGGAAGATAATTGTAGTTTCTCAGTCTACCTAGCAGTTGATTTACTTTGTTTTTGTTGACACGGTATTACTTTCCGTTCATGAAACCAAACCTGTTGTAGTTGTTGCACCTGTCATTTATCAACAGTGCCACTAACTTGCTTGTATGAGTATGAAAAATAAGTTATGGAGTTATTACTACTGAGTGGAATTGTTCTCTGATCAGTTGGTATAATAAAGTGCATCTGGGCTGCATACTGTCGGACCATATAGGGGTGTAACTAAGCCAAGCTGGCTCGGGCTCTGCTCGATAAGCGGTTTGTGAATTGAGCTCGATAAGATAACAAGTTAAGTTAAAGCCAGTCTCGACTCAACTCGTTAGCTCGTGAGCTGCCTCATGTAAAAAAAATAATATAAGATGTACTCATAATGTATTGAAATTTAAGACTTTAAATCAGAAAAAAATGATTGCAAATGATATTGAATTTTTTATTTCAGGTGATTCACATTATATATTTTTTAATTGATCATTATATTTATCATTTTATTAAAACACCAGTTTAAATTAATATTTTTTTCTTACTTTCATAATAATCAAATTGACTCAAACTCGTAGAATTAAGCTCAAGCTTAAGTTTGAACTCGACTAATTAATGAAGCTCAAGCTCAGGCCGTGGGTGAATTGAGCTTGATTCAACTCGTTTATACCCTTAGAAGCATATAATGTTGATAGGAAGATGACTTCCTTTCTTAGTAAAACTAGAGGTAACCTGCACTTGCTGAAGGAGAAGATTGTGTGGGGCGTCGTCTAAACTTTACATATGATTTTCACTTTAGAAAAAAGATATCTCATTAATTACCACTATGCTGATGTGCTGTGACTTTCAAGTAATTATTCGTGGATCCTATAAATCTTGTGTACCGTGGAGCTGCTAATAAGAGAAGGATATATATTGTGCAGGTATGAATACAGGTGGGCAGATGGTGTGCAGATAAAAAAACCCATTGAAGTATCTGCACCTAAATATGTTGAGTATCTTATGGATTGGATCGAAGCTCAACTTGATGATGAATCCATATTCCCTCAAAGACTCGGTAAAAAGCTATATACTCTATAATAAAGAATATTAAATTTGTTTATTCTGGTTTCTTACCTTCACTTTATTTACGTTCAGGAACGCCCTTTCCTCATAACTTTAAGGACGTTGTGAAGACAATTTTTAAACGCCTGTTCCGAGTCTATGCACATATATACCACTCCCATTTCCAGAAGATAGTGAGTCTAAAGGAGGAGGCGCATCTCAACACGTGCTTCAAACACTTCATTCTGTTTACATATGTAAGCTAATTTTGAACTTTGATATCAAACATTTTCTCTTTTGTCGATAATTTTTTTTCTGTTATCTTGTTTGCTTTGAACCCCTCATAGTTGGGAACTTGGTTAGTATCATGAAATGGAGCTAGATAATCAAATGAGCAATATCTAGCATCCAAAACCTTTAAAAAACTCATCAAGTACAAAAGCGCGAGCTACCCCATTTGTAACTTTTCTTTAAGCATTTGATTTAGTTAACTTATTTTATTTGCTGTAAATGAAATCATGATATTTTATTTCACCACTCCATGGATGTTCAATCTCTTTGAAATAGTCCATTGAATCCATTGCTGCCCATGTTTTTGGCCCACTTCCATAGAGATTATGCTATGCCATGCCATCATGATTTTGCACAACTTTAGCAAACACATGTAAAAATAAGAACAAAGCTAATAAAAGAATGAAATATAAAAGACGAAAAATAATTTTAATATTCATGACAATAAAATCTAAAATTAAACAATAATTGTTTGCCCAGTAATTCTATATAATGAGATGGGGCATTTACATACACATACCACCCAATTCACATGTATTTACATATCTAACACCCACATCTTTCATACCACATGATAAACCCACCATTTTAACTTGTACAAGATGAAATACACGTTGTCATGCATATGCAAGGTGGCATATATATAAAATTAGGTTATTATCTTACATTGTTTACATACACGTTGTCATGCATATGCAAGGTGGCATATATGTAAAATTAGGGGTAGTTTTTTTTTTGTTAGATATGTAAATACGTAAGAATTAAGTGGTATGTTTGCAAATCCTCCTTCTGAGATTCGTTTTATTAACATTCCCGTTATTAGCTTACATTGTTTAATAAAAACAGATATTTCTACCTGAAATGAAATATGTACCTCTCCAACTCTAATATTTGATTTCATATTTACAATGCGATGCAGGAGTTTGGCCTGATTGACAAGAAAGAACTTGCCCCACTTCAGGAGCTTATAGAGTCCATTATTGTCCCTTACTAATATTATGATTAAAACTGTAAATGCTATTTACGGAATAATGTGTGGGTTTGTTCTTGCTATTTGCTAATTCTATTTGAGACTCCTCTCCACAATTTATGCTCTCTCTTTAAATTTCTGTTGCTAAAATTTTGCATTATTTACTAATTGGGTGTGCTGATATAAATCTGCTGTATCACTCTTTTTGTATTTTGCTATTTCTGAGAAATTTTTCTTCTTCCTCTTCTTCTTATTTTTGTTATTTATTATTATTATTATCATTATATATATATGTGTGTGTGTGCTGCATATCACAACCTGTTGGTTGACATCTATGGTATAAGATCCCTTTTGTCGGGCGTTCGAATCCTTTCTGACACAATTAGCCCCAAGAAGTTGGTACTCAAATTGTTAGGCATATTAAGAGTGATTAGAGAGTTAAATAATAATCTTTGGTGATTCCATTTAAAATATTATATATATATACTGCACTTATTTAGTGATAGTGCCATTTTGTAGAAAAATTAAAGAATTATCGTGAAAAAAAAAAGATTTTGGAAAGTTGAATATCATAGAATTTTTTTTTTTATAAAAATGGTCAGCAAATGATTTGCAAATTGCAGCAACACTTTTTTATAAATCTAATTGTGAGAAATTACTCGTAATAAAAATGTTTGAGAAAAATACCTAGAAACAATAAAAGCAGCAAACCATTATATGTGAACAAATCCTAACCCAAATAAAATAAAAAATAATATATGATCGGTTAGTTAATCAGTTTTTTTTTAACTCATCTTAGACATAAATCTTAAGATTATAACATTTATAACAATCGAATTTGAGGTGGGATTCGTTCAAATATATATATATATAATATCCAACAGATTAGCATAAACTCTGTACAACCCTCTCTGAACAACATCTGGGGGATTTTTTTATGACAGTTGAAAATAGAATATATAACATGCAAATTGGGCGAATTGTACAAACGCAGTACAAGTAATTTTCCATAATAACAATGCGACATTTAATGATAAAATTGCTACAAGAGACACCCTATTCCTTGTAATCTATAATAGTAAAATTATAATTATACCAAAAATTTTCAAGCATTCGTAGAAATGGAAATTTCAAACAGGCCCCTGATAAAAATCTGCAAATTATATTATTACCCTGAGGCTTCTGCAGCAGCACCACCCTTGTATTCTCTTTGCTCCTCTTTAGCAAACTCTTCAATTAACATGCGCTGCCTCTCTGTGAGGTTACTGCAATGGCAGAATCATACAACATATTAAATATGTTCAAAATCTTTTTATCTTAACTTTATTATTATTATTATTAAAAATTAACATACATACCATACTATTCTTATATATTTACATATCTACCACCTAAACTTCTACATCTATGCACATAACACTCAAATCTTTGAAATCAAATAAAAAATACCATATCACTAAGTTTTTAATAGTGAAAATAAATCTTTTAATGCAAAACTTTTTAACATAAAGGTGCTATAAAAGTAAATATTAAACTTTAAGTGTTAAAAATGTAAATCCATAAGAATTGTGCGGTATAAATGAAAATTTCCCTATTATTTTTGCTGAATTCAATAATTTTGAAATGTCATATCAACCGAAACTAATTGACACCCATAATTATTGAATATTTCAATTGTTTTCCGAAGAGGCCCGGAAGGAAAGAGGAGTAAAACAAGAGCTTACGCAGGTATTGTAACGTTAAAATGAACGTATTGGTCTCCATAGAATGTTGAGTTCCTCGTCTTCATTCCTAAACAAAAAAAAACAAAATAAAGTTGATGTCTTTGATGGAAAATAGCATATGCTCCTGCAGCAATAAGTGGCGATTCAGTATGACAAATGTGGAGCGAAGCAAACAAATTTGCATAGTCTTTATTCCAATTCTTATGTATTTACATATCTAACACCTAACTTTTACTTTTTATATTTATACCACCCAAATCATTCATATCACATATAAAAATATCACCTTTATATTTATATCACCCAAATCATTCATATCACATATGAAAATATCACTATTTTGATATTTAAAAAGTGAAATACACATTTTCATGCATACATAAGGTGGCATATATATGTAAAGAATAATGTTGTGTTAGATATGTAAATATGTAGGAATTGAGGGGTGTAAATCTTCCGTTTTTTTATGCGTCCATAGGTTAATATGTAGGGGGGGTTGAGAAAATAGAACATTACCTTTCCCTTTTAAAACAACTTTCTGACCTGGTTGAGTGCCTGGCCTTACCTGAGGGTAAAAATGAAAAAGAAGATGTCACAGGAAAAAAAAAAAATCCAAAAAGAAGTGTATAAGGCTAACAAGCATCCTGAGGCATGCTTAATGCGGAAAACTTAAGAAGACCTTAAGAACAACATCCCCAGTAAGAGTTGGGACATGAATAGTACCGCCTAATATAGCCTGTAAGCATAGAAAAAAATAAAATATTAGATGTACATTAATAATAATAATAAAAAAAAAACAATAAAGTGAATCAAAATAACAATGAAAATTAGGCACAGTGACTTGAATAAACGAAAGTATTAGAACCAAAGTCCCAAACAACATCTCTCAGACTGAAATTGTATTACAAAAATAATAATATGAAATACTGTCTCAATAAAAGAAGTTGTCGAATAAATTCTGACAATAATGTCATTTCAACCAACAATTCGGGCTAAATGTCAATAATTTGCACAGCAATGTTTATAGTAAGTTCCGAAAAAAACATGATTTCGGCAAAATCAGTTACCTGAGTAATATTTAGAACAGCATCAACGTGAATATCGGATTTCTCTCGGCGAAAAACTGGATCAGGCCGGACCTATAATAGGATTTCTTTTTTGAGTTTTAAAATTCTTCCATAGATAATCATAAATAAGGCAATAAAATGGAACTTATTACCTTTACAGTAACATAGAGATCACCAGGTTTATTTCCTTCAGGATCTGCACCACCACTGCCATAAACTCTTATAGTGTCATCATCATCCACACCTAAGTGGGCATGAAGCAGTATGAGCATTAATATGAATATTTGACAATTAGCAGTAATTACAGTCTGAAATTTAGAAATAGGCACTGTAAAATCGAGATAATGATCGTACACACCAGGCATGACATCCAGTTTTACTGATTTTGTTCCCCTGAAAACTTTATTGCCCTTGCATGATTGGCAAAAGTTCTACCAACAAAAATAGAAAAGACGAAGAATTTGCAATTACATAATTATTCTTAGCGAAAACATGCTAGCCAAATCAGAAATTTATGAACAAAAAATATTGGAAGATTTACATGCATGCCACTTAAACCATCGATGCTTACATCTCTAACAACTAGAATTTAATTTTTACATGCATAACACCTAACACATTTACCTATGAATGAAAAGATGTATTTCACTTTTTAAAGTTACAATGATGTCATTTTTTATGTGACATTAAAATTTTGGGTGGTATAAATGCATAAAGTAAAATTTAGGTGTTAGATATGTAAATACATAAAAATTGGGTGGTATGTATGTAAATGTCCCAAAATATTTATACCTTTACGGTTTTCCCAGAACCACCACACTTTGAACACGTTGTTTGCATTCTAAAGGGGCCACTTTGCATGAATATCTGTTGCAATGTCAAAAACAAAGGAAAATTATTAAAAAAAATTGCAAAAAAAATCTTATACCAATGTTCCAAGGCAAAGACTGTTCGTATTTTAGTATCTGACCATTCCCATGCCTTTGCAAGTTCTACAAGTCTCGGGCTTGGTACCAGGGGGTACACCACTGCCACCTACATATACAAGGGACAACAATATTAATTATTTGGTTGAGAATTCAACAATTAAGGGGACGTTTTTCTGTTTTTCAGTTTCTCTTTTTGTTTTTATTTTGGGTTCTTTCTGTTTTAAAGCAAAACATGTTTACCCGATTGATTCTAGTACTGTTGTTTTCAAGAACACTAAAAACACCTAATTTATTTTTAGAAATAAAAAATTAAAACCTGTACAAAACACACTAGACAAATACGTTTATAAAAACCAAAGAAAAAACGAAAAACAAAATTGATCCGAAACAAGTCCTAAGTTAACCTACTTTTTTCATAAAGCACATGAAACTTTTCTAAAGAACAACTATCGTACCGCAAGCCTCACAAGGGATGGAAGTTTGAAATGTCAACGTCTTATTGCACCCATGAACGGCCTCCATGAAAGATATCTCAAGAGATACCTACATAAAAGGAAATAAATTAATTCAAATTTCACAGCTAAGAGATGGATTCAAATAGATAGCAAGCTTAACAAATTATTCTTGAAGAAGAACTCACCTTGACATCTTGTCCGCCAAATTCTCTCTCTCTGAAAATGTTCTTGAAGAACTGTAAGCCAAGCAAGAAAAAGAGGCAAGTTAAGAATGGAGGCTTTAAGATCAACATATAAGTGCATTTCAAATTATCATCTGAATTGAAAACCCGTCTTTTATAAAGCTATGAGGTGATCTTACTAGTCACATGCAAAAATGTTTTAAGGTGCTTTAAGGTGTGGAAGTTCATTCCCATTATAGGCTCTCCTTTAACAGTGACATCAATAATCCTAATGCTTAAAAAGCCCTTGCTAGCCGCTGCCCATCAGTTCCCCATTCCAATGATATGAGGGAAGAAATGGCATTATCTTTCGGGATACAATTAGGAAAAAAGATCAAAAATTATACTCCCCATTTTGACTTATCACTCGGGAAAAATGAACAAAAGTGGTTGGATGGTCTTACAAGGGCGTATTCGTGTCCAAAAGTAAAGATTGTCATTGCATCTTCCACCTTCCACAATGTTTTCATTTGTTATTGCAACAAAGTAGCATATCTCCTTTCACGAGTGTATATAAAAGGTTATTTCCATTTTCCTTTCATAAGTAAAGACAGATAATTCCAAGAAAAAAATCAAAATGGTCTCTGGACTATCTTTATGGGGGTACTATAAATGTGTTCGATTTAGTTATTTGGCTCCTTAAATATGAACAAAAATAGTTTCTCTCGTCAATCATTTTGGATCAAATTTTAAAAATTAGGGTACAACTATTATGACTTGATATCAATGACCTCTTTACAGATTAACATTCAAATCCATATGACACCATCGGCCTAATTGTGAGTTTATAAAATTATTCTTTAAGCCTTCGTGATATCAACTTATCACACAAAATTCTCAAGATAATTCTCCATCTTGACCATCTAAATTTAACCCTACAAATTATATCCCAATATATATCTTCATTTCTAACTTACATAATCCAAGCTATTTAAATATATTACGTTTAGATATCATCTCATCTTTTGATAATATCAAATGATCATTGTTTATATTAAATTCACTAAAATTACATATCATACCCCCAGTCTTTATTTAACTAAAGCCATATACCTTTTTTAGAAATCTCATCAATATGAACTATATCATTTTCAAAATGCATTCACCAAAGCACATTGATTTGAATATCCTTTGTAGGCATATCCACAAACATTACAAAAATAGGAATTCCATGTTAATTATTGAATCTAAACATGCAATAATTGAAAACATTTTGGCCAATGCTGATATATCTATATATATCTATGTAAATATATCTATATATAATCATGTAAATATACATTGGCCACAAATTTTTGCCTTAAAGCATACCAGATTAATCCACATCCTACTTGATTGTATACCTTCTCATGATCAATAAAGAACATATGATGATCATTTCTTCATTTTCTATACTTCTCCAATATCTATCTTCACAAAAATATCATTTTCATAGTGGGTCTTCACAATATTAAATCAAAAAGGTTCTATGAAATCAAATTGGTTCTATAAAATTGATGCAACACTTCCAAGCCTACATTCTATTACTCGATCCAATAATTTTATTATATAACTCATAAGTTTAATTCCAATATAGTTGGTATGATCATGAACATTGTCATTGTTCTTAAAAATTAATATCGAATCTCTGCTGCTCCGATCATTTTACATCCTCTTGGTCTTCAAAATCATATTAAAAAGAAATATTAACATAATTACAATAGTATCTTTCATAACTCTCCAAGTCTCAATATGCATCTTATCAGAATATATCACCTAACATATTTCATCATCTCTTTCAGAGTCCCAACTGCATTTTTTTTAAATAATTTTTGTCAAGGGTACACCTCGAATAGATCTAGCTGCTGCCAATACCGAGTAAGAGTATTAAAATATTGGGTGACGGAGAGATCACCTTAACGAAAGTCATTAAGAATGGTCTCAACAGCAAATAGTTCGCTTGTATTGTCCGCACTAGAATAGGTCTCACGGGCAGCATCCCAGATTTCATTAGTCGTGCCATAGAGAAGAAAATTTTCGCCAATATCAAGTGTCATCGAGTTAACCATATTATTCTCGAATTTTCAAGTCTTGTATGACGGATTTGTCGTCATCGGAGCTGGAGCACCACCAGTAAGGTAGTCATCTTTGCCTTTGCCGCATACAAACTTCATGACTGACTGCGACCATTGGAGGTAATTCAGGCCGGTGAGTTTGTGGTCGGTGATGAGGACAAAACTACTGTCTGAATTGTTGGGCAATGGAGACGCAACCGCGGAGGGTGGCTAGAAGTGACATCACTAGTGGAGGGGTTGCAGGCATGGTCGTACTTAGTCATTGAGCACGACAGGAACTGGTTGTGCTCGGTCGCGGAAGAAGATTCGACGCGGGAGATCGCGGGATTGCGGAAGATCGCGGGAACTGGCTGTGCTCGTGGGAGAAGAGTCGACGACAGATCGCAGGATTACGGAAGATCGCGGGAACTGGCTGTGCTCGGGTCGGCGCGGGAGATCGCAGGAGAAGCACGATGCGGGAGACGATCGTGGAAGAAGCGCGGATGATCGCGGGAGAAGCACGGATGATCGCGGGAGAAGCACGGATGATTGCGGGAGACAAGCGCGGAGGCGGACGACGCGGAAGCGGACACAGACGATCGCGGAAGCCGACACGGACGATCAGAGAGAGGCGCGATCAGTAGGAGCGGCGCTCGGATGCGGACGACAAACTAGAGCAACGCTCGGTCAAGGAGGAGGATCACGGGAGTGAAGGGTCGTGATCGAGCCGAGCGGGAGAGGCTTCTCTATGACTCTGATACCATGTCAATTTTGAATAACATTTTTTCTCACTGAATACATAGATAATTAACCTATAAATAGGCGAGTACAAGAGATAAAAGGAGGAAAGAAATTTTTCTACAATTAAGTAATTCCTATAATTATGGAATAAACATAAATACCTATAATTAAGGAATTACCCTTTTATACCATGACAAAATATAGCAAGTACTAAATAGAATAAAGTAAATAATAATGAGCATAATTCCAAAATATTTTTTCCCTGATATAAATCTGAAATCCTCAAATATCCTCTTACCTCATGGGCAGTCTGTAGATGGCATGAAAAATTCAGCGAGAATTGGTGCATATTTGTTTGAAGAATTGTAGATGTGTAGCTTTAATGTTAATAGGTTTGTAGATAGACTCCCTTGAGTGGGGGATATATCTTTTTTTTTTTTTTGAACTGTTATGTAGTGTTTTTTGGATTTTAGTATATTGAATGCGTTCTATTATATTACTGTTGCGAACAACTCCACTGTACGTGGCCAAAATGTTTTTTTTTTCCATAAACAACTGCAAATCAACTGTTCTCAAACCGCAGAAACCAAACAACGTAACAATTTATTCAGTTCAGGGGCTAAATGATCATTTATCCAGAAACAACTGCTAATCAGCTATTTTTCAAACGCACAAACCAAACAGTCAGCCAATTTATTCGGATCAGCTGTTCATCAACAGATTATCAGGATCAGTTATTTATCAGCAGAAGCTAGATAAGCTGCAGCTGCCCCCAACAAACCAGTGACCAATTACACAACCGTCGCATATATGATGGAGTAACATAGAAATAGACATGATACTCTAATTATATGGCTTTTACAAATTTGTTGAATCCTCTTGTAACTTAGTATGAACTTCTATTTGCCTTGATTTTAAGGTCTATTTTTTACTTATCACCCGTTTGTAGGATGAAAAATGCCACATTTCAAGATCAATTCCTGCCTTGAGTACACGCTCATACAATGAGAAAGCGGGTGAGATATCTAATTAATGTATTTCCATTTAACCAAATACATAAAATATTCAATGTTCCAATTTATTCTTCACAATAAATAAAGTGAGCAAATCTAGAATTTTATTTTTGCTTCTTTATAATACATGTTTCACCGAACATCACTTTCTTTTATATGATTTGAAGTAAAATCAATTCAATGTAACGCTCAGCTACCGAGTAGAAATTGATTGGTAGTGGCGGACAACGCGGACAGTATAGCAGTTTAGTGGCAATGGCAGTAACAAAAGCTGTGGACAGTGGTTGGCGACTGACGACGACAGCGAGCAGTGACTAGCGGGCAGGTTGGGGGCGGTAGGCGGCCGATGGCAGGTAGTGGTGGTGACTTGTTTTGAATTCACCCAATTTGAACTAAAAAATGGTTTTCATATATCAAATTTTACGATGCATTTCTTTTTCATCTGACCAAATGCTGATTTTTTTTCAATCCCTGCATTCCTTCTGCATTACCAATCAAAATAAATAGCCCCTGAATAAGAAATCCAGCTTCCCACCATCAAATCTGAACTTTTTTAGGGTCCAAACAAAGGAGTTGCTAGCCTAGCAAGCCAGATTTTCCCATCATGAAGGTATTAAAAAGCATCACTGTATAATAGAGGAGTGAACAATATCCTACAAAAAAACCAAGCATAAAACACTCACTAAAATTAAAAATATTTCTCAATTGACAATTCCTAAGTTAACACACACCATCAGATTAGAGCATATATATCAATTATTTCTAAGTTATTACATAAATATGGAAACTGAGGAGCTCTAAGAATCTTAGTAAATATATAAGTTATTTATTCCTCACAAGCAATATAAGGAGTCATGGTCTTCTTTGATAAAGCAATATCCCTGATAAAATAAAAGTCAATCTTATTCTTTCATATAAGATTGAATCGCTAGCAATATAAACTGCTGCTTCAACATGAAAAATTAAAGAAATGTTGGCTAGCAGAAAAATCAAAGAAGAGGGACTTTTACCCTCATCATTTCACAAGCAAGGTGAGTAATGGTCGTAACCCTATATTCTGCTTTAGCGCAAGATTTGGCCACAGCTACTTGCTCCTCACTCCTTCAGGCGATAAGATTGTTACAAATAAATATATAATATATTGCCTTTTTATCTTCAAAATATTCAATATAATTAGCATCTAAATAAGCTATGACTCTCAGCTCATCATTTCCTTAAAAGACTAGTCCTTTACTAAAGAATTTTTTTGAAATATTTTAGAGTTCTCAAGATAACTTCCCAAAGCTTTTTCTTTAGATTTTGCATGCGTTCACCAACCACACCAACAAGAAGTACCATATAAGAATCATTTGATAGTTAGATATATAAAGTCTCCTGACAAATTAAGATTTTGAAAAGCTAGCTCATATAATATTATGATAGCCTAAGGCCTGGTGAAAATACCATTAGCAAGAAAAATAAAATTGTAAGAATTAAAGAAAGTTATATTACTACCTAACAACAATTTCAAACTGAACTTCAACAAGAAATTCTCTCCATGCAAGTTAAGCGTAATAAATAAATCAACCTCAATGTTAAATGCTTGATAAGCAATGGAAAAGGTATGGAAAAACAGCTGCACAGGATACTCATCAATGATAAGAATAGAATGCAAGGACTGTCATGGGAATTCACATACATCATTCATTCCACCGCCGGAAAAGAAGTCATCAAATGGGCTCCCAAATCCAGCACCTCCAAACGGCCCACCAGGACCTCCTCCAGAGGCAGCTTGCTCAAATGCATCAGGACCAACCTGGTCAAGTTTCCCTTAAATACTTCAGCAACCAAAAAAATAAACAATATTGAATAGTCAAGTTAATCAAAGAATGATGAAAGAATAGTGACAATAAGATCTTATCATAAAGTGACTATCATAAGGAGGTGAATGAGCACGAGGGATGAAACAGAGATGAATAAAACTTTGTGGAACACAAAAAAAGATAGGAGAAAAGCAGCAGAAAGGAAAAAAAAGTGCAGTAAATTCAATGAGAAATAGAGCAATTTCATGGTGGATTCAAGAGTGATGAATTACATGAAGTCATTTGTAACAATGAAAGAGTTTTAGAATATGATTGAACCATACAATTATAATTCAAATCCTTGATGTCCATATATTAAAAATAATTTAATCATCTCAAGTGATGGATCTATAAATCTCTCAGCATAACAGGTTTTCGCTAAAATTAACATCAATAACCATGACTAGAATGCATGATGACAATTTCCACAACTAAAATGCATATCTCAAAATAAATCAATCAGAAAAATTCTCAATGCTACGCCAAGCAAATGACCGTATATTTTAGAAGGCAAGTAGCATTATACAGAGGCAGTCCAGAAATAATAAGACAATTAAGTGTTTCAACATGTTCTATTGCTTTCACATGGATCATTACTAACTCATTTTTATGATAGGTAAAAAAAAATTCTCAGAAATCAAATTCCTTAAATTAAAAAAACCTATTTTCAGCAAATATTATGAAGACGGTATCATCATGGTTAAATAATAAGAAGTAAATGAAATAACAAAGACCAATACCTGATCATAAAGTGATCGCTTTTCATCATCTTTTAGGACCTGCAAAGCAAAATAAGAATGCATTTTCAACTTAATTAATCAAATATTGAGGTAATTAAATTCGATATGAAAATATCTCTACTTCACAATCTAAAAAAAACTGTTACATTACCTCATAAGCTCGTTGAACCTCTTGAAATTTCTTCTCAGCGTCAGGATCCTCTTTATTTGTATCGGGATGAAGCTTCTTTGCAAGCTGGATTAAGAGTAAGTTTATCAGCTAAAAAGGAAGTATACCAGAATATAAACTCATTTATTAGGTGTTGAAAACATTACTATGTAAAACAATTGGAAAGGTGGGTGGATTACTAGGCATATCTCCATATTCAGGAGCTAAAATTCAATATCTCAACAAAAATTTTTCCCTATGTACTTACAGTTTCAACATAACAGCTATCCACAAGGACAATCTATAATTACAATTGTACTTGAAACTAAAAAATAGTCAAATGAACTGCATAAATTGTATTATTATATTACAGGCTATAGCATACGAACCAAGATAATATAAGAAGAAATATGTGTCTCAATGAAAGTAGTCACGATTCAAACATTACTCCAAACATCAGGACTCAGGTTGAACTCATTGTTATTAAAATTAAAAGGAGAATAAAAAAGGCATTTGATCAGAGTGGACCATTAATCTGATTGTGTGGTGAGTAGATCAACACATATCATATTAAATTGGATTAACAAGGAACTCCAAGGGAACCACCCCTTAATTACCCTGGTTTTCAAGAGTTACGAGAACTAGCTGGATAAAATTAATCCAGAATTAAATTGGCATTAGGTTTAACCGATTAGAACCCAAAGCACAGACAAAATCACAGATCTTTGATAACAACAAGGCCTACATAAGTAGCTCTATAAGAAGCTTTTAATATTTAGCTTCTTTCAAAACTTAAAATAGTTGCAAGATGGTTTAATGCATGAGGGGCTGAGTAAGAATTAAATGATTGAAGTTCTTGGCCTTCTAAATCTATGAAATCCTAACATTAAAAACACCTCGGATGGGCTCATGATTTGAAAGCGAAGAGTTCATTTCACAAGAAAAGGGGAAGTTTTTCATCTTCCAGACTGGGAGATTAATGAAAGGGAATCAAAGTAAGTAACAAAAAAAGAATGAAACAACTATATAATTTTGAAGAATGCCTGCAGCTATAAAATGGAATTTCTTTTATGAAATTGCGCACTGAGAATTTCCACTCTCCAAAACAGTTGAACATTAACTAACTAAAGAAAAATGTATCTATGACCAACTAAAAAACTTAATTGATTAGTAAAATATTAATGGGAATGTATGAATCCCATAAAAATAAAGAAAAGGCTCTGATCCCATAAGCCCCTCACATTCAAAATGTAGCCCTTAAGAGTAACAACATTTTTAATCAAATGGATTATGAAAATGTGGCTTATATATGATGTTGATGATCATCCTACCTCATAATACATTATTATACACTTATAATCAACCAATTGGCATTGCTTGCATTTGCAAACCAAGCTTCCATGATTTGTTCTTTACTTAGGGAAATTTACACACAAAGCATGTGATTCTTAGGTATTTACATATCTCACATCTAGAATATCATATTTACATACATAGCAATTTGGTGCTTTAATTTCTACATGAGGCAGATTGAGGTTTCATGTTTAGGTTCAGTCTTAAGCAACGAAAATACATTTCATTTGTTTCAATTTTATTGAGAGAGGGAGAGGGAGAGGGAGAGGGAGAGAGAGAGAGAGGTTACTAGTACTAGAAAATCTCAAACAAAGCGCAATCACATTATTGTTGAGGTCATTGAAGATTGATAGATTAATGAAAAATTCTAATTCATTAAACACTTCAAACTCACCCCATAGTACGCCTTCTTAATATCTGAAGAACTTGCACCCTTACTCACTCCAAGAACGTCATAATAATCTCTAGCGGACATTGATTTAGTCCCTACACATCATTAGAATCAACATAAGCATTAATTTATTCATCATATCAAAGCAAGTAGGCCGCTAAGAACAAAGGAAATTTGACAAAACTGAAGGAATAAAATTAAAATAAAAGTAAATATTCAAACAGGACATACCATGAAAATGCCTCATTTGGGAGCAATTATTAAAAAGACTAGCTCCCCAATTGCCAATGGCCGACTTACCTGAATCAAAACAAAAATTCCAAGATTAACTGCAGCAGTTTAGCAGGATAAAAAACAACGTGTAGTAATAAACAAACAATTGCTTTCAGTATTATTATATTGGTTCAAAACGAAGCCAATGAAGTGGAATTAAGCTCGTATAATTCCATGGGAGGGTTTTACATTCACAGACTAGATGATAGAATCTGTCCACATTCTCAGAAAATTAACTTGCAGATACCCCAAAAACCCCAAAAATAAACAATCATAAAAAAGGGAAAGGAATTAAGAGACAAACCAGTTTTCTGATTCATATCAGCGAGAATCCTTGACGTGGTACAAATCCCCGCGACTTGCCACCGTGCTGAGGCCCATATCTGCATCGATCGTGAAGAGCATATAATGGATCCAAACAACAGCAAAATAAACCAACAAAAACAAACAGAGAATACGAAAAGCTCACGGAAGCGGCGGCGTCGAAAGACTCGCCAGAGAGGATCGAGCGAAGTGACCGGCGGGCCAAACAAACGGCCCGTTGAGCTCCGTGGAACCGCATGGTCAGAGAATTCGCCGGCGATCAGAGATAAAGTCTACTGGTTTCCCATTATTATTCGCGGGAAGGAGCTTTCTGGTTCTCAGAGACAGGGCAGCAGAGGAAGCTGAGATCGAGGTACGTGTTGGGGGTTTAGGGCAGGAAGAGGTCTGGAAATTTCGAAATGGGCCTTTTCCTCTTTTAATGGGCCTAGGAGTACGAAGAAACATATTTATTCACCCAATGAAGCCCACTTAAATATACTTATGGATCACATAAAATTTGTATTTGATATGCTAAATATTTTATTTAATGATCAATAAATATGATATATGATATCACATAAAATGTAAATTATTTTTGACTTTATGAATTTAAAAATTATTTTATGAGATTAATCTTTTTAGCTTGAGGTTTAAAACATTGTTAAATTTTTTTTTCATTTATTTTATTTTAGAAATTGTTAGAAAATAGAGGTATATTGATATAAATTTTGAATTTAATTCAAATACATTTAAAACTAATTATAACATTATGCATGTCATTATTTAATTTATTTACGAGGCATTTATATATAGCAAAAAAAATTAATGTATTTTCATATTTTACTCCCGAACTTTCATAATTACGCACATATCCTTCAAAAATTTAATATTACATCAAAAAAAAATATAAAGCTGTTATCATTTTCTTAAACGTGGGATTCTTAAATAAAAAATGAAAATTTTTATTATTTAATGCCAATTTGTATATTAAATTT